TTGATGGACTCTATCTTTTCCTCCGTAGGCGTAATACCATTCGCGGTTATGTGGTGTCCCAGAAACTGTATAGAGGAGACACCGAATATGCACTTTTTGGGGTTAATGACGACTCCATATTGCTCAAATCGTTGAAATAAGATGGTGAGGTGATCAGTATGTTCTTCGGGCGACGAGCTAGCAATTAAAACGTCATCGATATATACAAATACAAAGTCCAAACCTTGTGTGACCTGATCCATGAAACGTTGGAAGGATTGTGCTGCGTTCTTTAGGCCAAATGGCATGCGGAGAAATTCAAACAAACCGAAAGGTGTGATGATGGCCGTTTTTTCGATATCCTCTTGGGCAACTGGTATTTGGTGATAGGCCCTGACCAAGTCTACTTTAGAAAAAATGGTTTTTCCGTGTAATGTCAGGGAGAAATCATGAAGATGAGGAATAGGATAACGGTCGGGAACTGTGGCATTGTTTAAATGTCGGTAATCCCCACATGGCCTCCAATCATGATCAGCTTTAGGCACCATGTGTAAGGGCGAAGACCAAGGACTATTGGAGGGTCTGATGATGCCGAGCTGCATCATGTGTTCAAATTCTGCCTTGGCTGCTGCCAATTTGTCCGGGGGTAATCTACGAGGACGAGCACGAACTGGTTGACCCGTAGTAACTATCTTGTGAGTAACTGTGTGAGGGACGTCCTCGATGTTGTACGACGGCTTAAGAATTTTAGGGAAACGGTGAAGTAGGGAGGAAAAAGGGCAATCTGCTGGTCTTTCAATACTGATATTATAGACAGAATAGCTGGAGATAATTCCATGGATCTTTAGATGGGTGTTGTTATCAATCAGTTTTTTATTGTTGACGTCAACTAACAGGTTGAAATTACTCAAGAAATCTGCTCCGAGGATGGCGTGACTGACGTCGGCTACTATGAAAATCCATGTGAAACGCCGACGTAAACCTAGATCCAGTATGAGGGATTGCTCTCCATACGTCTGTATGCTTGTGTGGTTAGCTGCCCGGAGAGACAGTTTTCCGGGTGTCCGTGTAGATCGCCTGGATAGTGAAGGAGGGATTACGCTAACTTCTGCTCCCGTGTCTACCAGGAATAAAGTGTCTGAAGTTTTATCCTTCACATAGAAGAGGCGACTTGTTTGCTTGCCAGTAACAGCTGTCGCCATCACTGTCTGGCTGAGGCGTTTCCCTGAGCCTGGTTGGCTTCGCTAAAGCTGCACGGTTTTACACATTTCAGGGCATGACGTCCAAACTTCCAGTGATACCAGCATATATTGCTATCCCGAGAAGACGTGTAAGAACGCTGTCGTGAGAAGGATCGTCGTCGTGATGGTGACCTTCTTTGTGAACTCCGTCTCCGGACTTGTCGATCAGACCTATTAGTTTCCAACTTGTCAATCCTTGCCGCTAAGTCTGCAATGGCGGCGAGTATCGGTGTGTCTGCCGTGGGTGTGGAATGACACGGTGTGGCACTATCAGATGCTACGTGACTTATGGTGTTATCGGATAAAACATCCATAATACTATCTGCCATGTCACTTAGTTGGTCTAAGTCATACGACTTTCCTGAGATGATTAAAATTTGCTGGACATTTCTAGGTAAACGTTGCAACCACATCTGTTTCAGCACTACCTCGTCTACTTTATGATGTCCGATTAACTGGCGCATGTGCCTGAGCAGCTGGGATGGTTTACGTGGGCCTAGTTCACAGCCTGTGAGCAATTGTTGGATTCTTTTCTCATCCGACAAACTGGTACGTTGTATGAGGAGGGCTTTAAGTTTATCAAATTGATGTTCCGTCGGAGGATCTTCGATGAAATCGCTGATTTCTGTCAATACTGACGGAGGGAGTTCTGCCAGCACCATACCATATTTGGCTATTTGGGACTTAATGCCCCGTGCTTCTAGCAACGGTTCAATTACCGCAAACCAAATCCTTGGTTCTGCGAAACCGTATTGGGGTAAACGAAAATCAGTGATGGCATTTATTGTGGCATTTGTCTCGCTATTAGTTGTCTGCTCGTTTGATGTACCGGACTGAGGTGATGACATTATAAATATGAGGTTATTGGTGCAAATTAGGATACAAATATAAACCACACACAAAATCACAATGAATATACAAAATAGCAAAAATAAGAATATGAATATGCCAAAATAATCCGTGTTCTTATCGGGCTCACCAATTAATTTGTAGGGGACTAATATTAGAGTTCACTAACATTCCAAATATAAAAGTAATAATCCAAGTCAGTGGAGTGTTAAATCACAATATATTACCAAAAATACAGTGACGAGTTATAGCAACAAAAAGGATTACTTGGATATAAAGTCTAAGTCCTCGGCTACAAATTAATTATATAATCCACAGGCACGTTAATTGTTTGGACTGCGTCTGCTGTAGCTGCTGTGTTCCGGTTGTAGAAATGTCTTCGGTTGAGAGTAGTAGGCTCCTACAATAAATCCGAAGTATACAACACGGTGTGAGTGGAGCAAGTAAGCAGAAGTGACCAGGGAGAAGACGAAGTCTCCAACAGCAGAGTGTATTTTTCAATTGTACACGGAAGTTATGTATATTTCAACAAGAAGCGTTTTAAACAAAAATTATGTACAATATCTCGAATTTATACAAGTAACCAAAAAGTGTACAATCACATTGTTACGTACTCAACAAATATGTGATGGTACATCACTTTGGATAAATGGTGGAATTTTATATCAAAAGTTAGTCGAATATACCTTACATGTCTTGGATTTATTGTCTTTCGACTCACTCACTATGTTGAGACTTAGTAGTTGTTTAGGGAGGTAGTCAAACCAGTGACAACTTTTATATTTTATCAGATGAGGGATCGATCCTGACTAGACTTAATTCATTTTAACTTAGATGGTGTGAAATACATCAACATCTTCAGGTTGTCATTCCTAAAACTAGAGGCATATGAAGTCAACTAGAATATGTTCCTTGTGATCAGTTCGTATAGCTAAAGCTATTGTTGCCCCCATGATCACCATTCAACATGAATATGTGATTATGGGTTGCACCGTAGGACTGTTTGAGTAGAGCTTTCAGTAGAATAATATACCTCGCACGTACTGAATTTGGGGTCTGAATTGCTCATTAATCCATCTACTGTGAGATTTGATGATAGTGTTGTGTTGAAATAAGACTATTTTTAAGCTGTTATAATTACTTGCATGTTTCAGGGTTTAGCAAAGTGGTCCAATCTGAATTATTCACACGTGAGCTTAGAAGGCATGTGTAAATCTCTTTGCTTATTCCAAAAGAATTGTCAACAATGACTTATTTTATTGTATTTTCTCACACAACCGTGTTTCATTTTAATTCCTCGCATATTGTCATCCGATTTATCTTTAGGGTTGCCTGCACCATATTATGTGCATTTTAACGGTAGCTAAAATAATTTATTTACAGCGTTTTCATGTAAAAGGCATGTACCTGAGCTTGTTTTCAATTGTCCAAACGTAACATTCTAGATAGTCTTGTCTGTAGTGTTGGGTACTACTTAAATTTGAAGGTGTAGGTCGCATATTGCAGTAGTGAAAGGGGCTATACTGGCTGGCAGGAATTTTCCTTCAGGTCCTTCTATGTTGCATATAACTGTGTTGATTTAAAAGCGTTCGCCAACGATATCGGCTATCGTGGTATTTATTTAATAGGTGTACTGAAATATGCTGTCTGAAGGATTGGCTTGCAACCAATGGAAATCTCGTTATTTAGTGGGAGGCGGCTGTAGTCTTTGCAGACACACTGGTGAAATACAGAGTCTTGTGAAAACATTGGAGAGCTGAGCATATGTGGCGTGTGACTTACTCTTGCCGAATGTGAAGTGCTGCATGATTGATGTTCATCGATTTTTAATTTAGGGCTAGGCATTGAAACGGTTGGATTTATTGACGATACGCCGACAAATGCTTTCATTCGGTCTACCGTCTTGAGTTACTGACCGAGTTTTAAGATAGAAATCTGCCCAGGGGTGCATCAGTTCAAGTCACCACACTCCCTGTGGCACACGAAATTAGAAAAGTGAAAAAAAATGAAAGGAACAGTAATGCTCAGAAACGTACGGGAGAAAGAATAGTAAAAATAAATAAAATCGAAAGGAGGTAATTTATCTGTGAGATTACAGAGAGTGAGTCAGTCATAATTTTTTTGAGCCACATCTTGATTGGTCTCTATGCATTGATCCTTAACATTTCGACGACCTCAACCATGGACTAATACGAGGCTCTGATTGACCAACCCTAACTTCCCCAACTTAATCGAATGTCAGCTATCATTTCTGGAGGAGGTGACTCTGAATTCGTAACGTATGTCCTAGCCATCTCGATCGATATAGCTTCATAGCCTCATTGATAAACTTACTCTCCTTACCTAACATTAAACCTCATCTGAATATTACTTACCATATTATACCAGTTGACACTGGAGATGGAACGCATATTTCCGTGGTCAAAGATAGATTACCTTTTCATATCTTCCACTTTCAAGGGCCATTTCTGACAGCCTTAAAGGATGATATAGCGAGCTGGTGCACAGTAAACGCATCTTTTGATTGTTAACCGGACATGACGTCTGCGTCAATCAAAACCAATTATTAGTCCACAATTGGGATCATCGAAATGTTAAGCGTCAATGGATTAAGACCATTGGGGATATGGCTCAAAATCGTTGTCAATGATGCATGTACATCCACTGTGTAATCTCCCAGATACATTAAACCCTCTTGATTTTGCATGTTACAATTCTTCTGTATATTTCTGCTTATTATAGTTGTTTTGAATTTGTATTTCTTCCTCTCTACTACTTTTGTGTGTTACATGCAGTGTGTGGCAACATGAACTGATACACTTCTGTGTAAAGTTCCCTCTTAAAACTTAGTCACTTGTTAAGTTGTAACGTTCGTACATATGAACAGGTTGTTAGGGACTTTTGCCAGTCTCCATTATTTCTTGCACAGACATGATATCCAACTGAATTACTGCAGCAGCTTCTTGAACACAGTGATTGCTAACAACATTAACAACTGAAGTGTACTCGTAGTTGATAAATAAAACGTGATCATCAATATAGCGTTTGACTATACTGACAGAAACTCGGTTAGACTGATCACATGAGGTGTCCATTTTATAGAGGGGAATATTAAGATATTTTACCCAATATAATAATGTGGATGCCTGCTTTTAGATTTGGTTTACACCAGTCGTATATAAGGTTTAATAGCAGTACATAGTTGAAGTGATACTCATCATACTCATTGATGTGCTGAACAACTGGAGAATGTTCGAAGAGATTGTATCCGTCCAGACCGCTTATCCTCTAAATAATATAGAGAAAGTAAAGAGAAAGTATTTTGACTTGTTGGCTGGCTAAAGCAGTAGGCTGTGGCTACGTTAAACGGAGTGGATATCACTTATTTCTGTTTTTGTAATATCAGTGTTTCATTTGGACGGCAACATATTGATTGTGTTATACATCGTCATATAACAGACGAATGTAGGTCAAATATGAGACGAAGAAATCAGATAAAAATTCAAACAAATAAACGAAGTCAGGATTTATACACGGAAGTGTACATGTAGGCATACTTACCTACGTCCAACAATCGATATATTTTTTGACCTAAAGGCCGTACTCGATTCTGTCTACCGAGAGGTACTCTGGCGATGTTTGACTGTAAAAGGAATGCCGAGAAATACATTGCACTGATCAAAGTACTCTACTCGAACTCATGCAGCCAGTCAGGTGAGAGCTTACGGCGAGTTGTCATCTGAACTGGTGAAAACTAGTGGTGCCCGACAGGGTTGCCCAATATCCCCATTTCTATTCAATTTCATCATAGATGTGTGTTCCAATGGACTTAACCGTAACTCACTTCAGCGACTCAGGGATTGACTTGCTACCAGGGAATAATTTCGTTGGCTTAGAATATGCAGATGATATAGTCCTTGTAGGTGAAGACGCTGACGAAATGCAGAGTCTTTGAACGCCTTGAGCTGCACTCTTCGAATGTTTGGCATGCAATTCGCTCCCACCAAATGCAAGATGATGTTACAGGACTGGACTACATCGACGCCTAGTTTAAAAATAGGAAGTGAAGTGGTTGAGCGCGTTGACCACTTCACTCATTTGGGAAATTGCATCAGCCAACGCCAGTGGGTTGATCGTTGACGAAATCTCAGCACGGATACAGAAGACTCGTTTCGCATATGCGAGTTTACGCCATCTATGGCTTAGGAGGTGTGATATCCGGCTGGCTGTCGACGAAAGGACGTGTGTACTGCTCATCAGTCCGCTCCATCCTGCTTTATGGGTGTGAGACCTGGCCATTGAGAGTGGAAGAAATGAAAAACCTGTCTAGCTGTCTTTCATAATAAGTGCCTGCGTTCTACCTCCCGTGTAAAATGGTATAGTAGGGTGAGCAATATTGAGGATAGGCGTCGAGTGCTGGGTAAGGAGGGGAAATCAATCGACGAGACTGTGAAATTACATCAACTGAGATGGTTAGGACATGTGTTACGCACGCATGCCTAGTCATCGCCTTCCTCGACGGTCAATGTCAGTCAGCTGACATAGAGTCATGTTGAAAAAGAGCTAGTTAGTGGTGCTCCAACCAAAATATGGCTTCATCAGTCAATGAAATCCACATAGGAAGATGTAGACTTCCTGACTGTTTGGGGTCCTCAGGATGGTAAAAACTAATGGCTGGAGACAATTAGTGATATGGCTGAAAATCGTTGTCATTGGTTAGCGCAGATGCATTCACTTCTTGTGACTTATTATACCCAATAAAACTATATTGATCTTCGATACTACTATTCTTTCTGCCTCATATCTGTGTTTACTGTCTCTATTTTGCGTTTCTTTTTACTTTATTCTCTGTCTGTGTATGCTGAGTTGAAGTGTGGTGACTCGAACTGCTGCACATCGGTGCAATCAATGTTCTACGTTGGAACCGGTCAGTCAATTAGTCAGGCAGACAGGCAGTCAGTCAGTGTTCATGTAAATGTAAATGTAGAAACTAGTCAGTTTTTTTAAATTCTCCATGAACTTACAAATATTCGCTTTATAGTATACGCTCTTTAATTATCTGAAAACTTTTGTTGATCTAGATTTGATTATGCGTCGCAACTACAGTCTTCAATCGGATAGAAAGAGTCGTCAGACAAGGTAAATTTTTTCATTATTCGCCTTCATATGACTTTGATTGCTCTTTTCCAGAGCACCATCTGTTGTTGGACAAGAACAAAAATCTGTAAATCGTGATGTGAAATACAGACCACAGCCTAACGAAATGGTTGAAAGTCTAATGCAAGTAAAAGAAATAGTCGAATTATCACTAAAATGCAAATACAGTTTTTAGTCAATACGGACTACTGCAGTTCAACACCCGAGGCTTCATTGACACTGAATTCCAAGGAGATATTTTCAATATTTGAGCATGTTATACGTCAAATTGATCCATCATTTCGTATTAAAGGTGGTGTGATGAAACCAGAAGAAGTACTTGTAAGGTGGGTGGGGGGTGTAGTCCATTTTAATTTTTTTGTTTTGTTTTGTTTTTAAAAAGAACTAATTTTTTTCTATGTGCTGCAGTACTCTTAAGAAGCTTGGCTATCCTAACCCTCTGAGTAAACTTCATTTAGTCGCACCTGGTGCTCCTCAGGCATGGAATTCCATTGTAACCGCATTGAATTGGTTAAGAGAAGGAGTGGAGCATGCGAAACAGGTGATTACTGTTATCACTTATTCATATCCGTTTAATCCAATTTTTAAAAATATTGTTTTAGTTAAGTGAATTTAGCATTCCCGTTGCTGAAGGTGATGGAAATGCTAATGAGAAAGCATCAGTGAACAAGCTCATTCATGAATTGAAGTTGTCGTTGTTTAAGAAAAAACGCGGAGACCCTAATATTACTGACTCTGTAATTCAGGTATGTTTTTATGTTAAGGTTTTGTGTTATTTTTTTGAGTGTTTAACAACTCTATATGAGATTGATCTGTTGCACATAGAGGTTGGAGTAGATAGTCAGTTGTCTGTCTGGTCGATGATGGATACAAAAGACTTGTGATTGTTCTCTTTTCAAGTGATAGTATCTATTATTTTGATAAGTTGTATAATCAGTCGTCAGTGTCGTTCATCTTGTCCTGTGAAATGTCTGTGAAACGTGTACATGGGAATTAGGGAGTTTTTTTTATTTATGATGACATTCGATTGTCCTATAAAATTCATAAGGAGGATCAGAAAAGATCAAAAAAGCAAATCATGAGGAAACTAATAATGATAACATAAATGAGAAAGAATATAAGGCATCTACAGTTTTACCATATACGGAGGGGACATCTGAAACTCTACGTAGGTTTCTGAATAAAGCAGGATTTAGGATGGCATTCAAACCCTCCTACAAATTCACTCAGAGAAAAGCTTGTAGGCTTAAGTACCCTGTCGGTTGACCCGATTAGACAAAATAATATAATTTACAAAATACCCTGCAATGACTATGAGTTAAGTCGACTACATAGGTAAAACTAGTAGATCGGGAGTGGTGAGATTATCAGAACATAATAATTTAGCTAAGGTTAGAATGATTGATCCTGTGAAGATAAGTAATTTAGCAATAACTCAGTAATTGCACTGCATGCATTTACACATAGCCACACAATAGGGTGAGAGAGGGTTAGAATTTTAAGAAGTAATATAGGTAGCTGGGAAATAGAGAGAAACTGATTACTGAATCCTGGTTCATCGAGTCTACACCCAACGCAACACATGCAATAGAAGTGACTCAACGCCAATCCAAGAGATATGGAAGATGTTATTACCAGTCAAATCAGAAGAGGATAATAAATAATGTTAAAATGTACTCCATTAGTTCGCATTATAATAATCTAACAAGTTATTTATCAATTTTGCTATCAAGACATCTTATTTCTCATCTTATTGTATTTTAGTGATAGCACTAACATTATTTCCGAATGTGTTTTATCTTATATTGATTTTATTCAAATGTCTAATCTTCAAGTTTTACTCGTGTATATAAATGAAGCAAGAAAGTAATGTGAGTACCTTGATATGCTTATGAGCAGTAATAATTTCTGTTCGAGACGTCGTCATCAGTAAATATTACTGTATAACACTGTGTGACTTTATCAAAATAAAAATTTTAACACATAACGGAATTAAACTCTACCAGAGTGCCTAAGATTTATCCTTAGATAACATTCGACATTTGAGCCTTTTGCTGTTGTGTAACCATCATTGAGTAAACAGATATAGAGAGAGAGAGAGAGAGGGTATATCGTGAGATAGGCAAGCTACTTAATCAATAAGACTGTCAACCTCTACTGAATGAGGTATTTGGAGTAATTGGTAGGAAAAAATTGGACCATCTCATATATATTCTTTTAAACAGTGGTTATTTTTAGATGGCAAAGAGAGTGAGGTGATGTTTGTGTCATGCCTTCACTGAACTTATTGTACGTGTGGTATGCACATATATAAGGGTAGAGAAAATAGATGTACAATTGTATTAATCATCAATCCAAGGTGTGAGACTGTTTGGATTGAGTTTCATGTCTGTTGTGTACATATGATAACACTAGTGTGGAAAAGTTTCAATAACTTGAAGGTTATTTTCCTCAAAGTTGATGTGTAGTAAGTAGTTAACTGTGGTTTAGGTAATTGTTGGCAAATTTTGCGCGAAAGTTTTCACGTGTAGGAAATCTTGAATTTATTTTAATGTTGTGGATTTTTTGAAAAGAAAGCCGTAACGACTGCATTTATCATTCGAGAATGTTGGACATTGACGGTGTGTATGTGTTTGTAAAGTGAAGTATTGACGTATTATTCTTTATTTTTGGTATTTTTGCTATGCATTGTAGTTTGTGTAGCGATTGGTTTGACTTTCCTGGCTATGGTTGCCAGCCTTACGCCCAATGTTCCCTCTTTTTCCCAGGATGGGATTAGGAAGGGATAATTACAAGTAGACAAGTGTGAACTAGAGGTGGAGGAGATCATGCGTGAGACCGTGGGTAGGAGCGAGAAGATAGGAATATGTTGGGGCGACAAGAAGACTGTAGAAGATTTGACCTCAACGGATGATTTATCTTTGATGTCATACAAACTGGAAGATGCACAGGCTGCAAACCAACAGGTCGGTAGAAGAGGAGGCGAAGAAAGCGCTTTAAGTGAACGTAGAGAAGACATGGGTGAAGACATCTAACCGTCGTCATCACCACCAACAACAAGAAGCGTCAATCATTATCAAGAAGAGGAATTTGACGGCAGTCATTTTTTTCCACTTATCCAGGTAGAATTGCTTCTACTCTGGACAGTGGCGCATGGATGAGGATGTGAAAGCCAGCCAGCAGACAAAATGCAGGGAAGAACTTTATAACTTTGAAATCAGTTTTGAAGTCTCCTGTGCGCTAAGAATATTGAACGAAATTCGAATTGTTAACACCAATAATAAATGAATCTGTGCTTCTATGTGGTTCGGGTACTTGGCGTGTCATCACAAGCATCTCGACACAGGCTACTACAGCTTGTGGTCACCAGCTGCCACGGTTGGCTTCTCATTGAAGATCAGATGTTCAGAAGAGATAACCAACAAGGTACTCTGTTTGACAAGAAGCCAACCAAAAACCTATTGATCGACAAATTGGTTGACGAAAGTGGCGATAAATCGGATGTACACTGAGTGAGGAGACCACTATTGAATGACATCGTGTGGGTACCAGGGTGTCGAGTGGAACTCGAATGGGAAACGATGAGTTGGGTGTGCGAGTATGACCTGGAGTAGATAAGAGTTTATGAGGGATCGTGGAGCTGGCTGATGGTGACCACAAGGAAAAGGATGAAATGGGAGTGTCCTGTTGTAAAGCCGTGTGTTCCACTCGGAACCTAAGTGAATACTATTAGTAGTAATTGTAGTACTACAACTACTAATGGTAATAATAGTAACCATACAATTTCCTTGCTTTCTTTGTCTTAGAATCTGAAATCATCTATCAGTATAACACTGGGCGCTCCAAGTGATGAAGATATGAAGAAAGCCTATGATCGATCGATTGAAAAAGACATAGAACTGGCAAGTTTTGAGAGTAACTGTAATGAAGAAAATGTGTTAAAAAAATTGACGAATTGAAAACTGAGACACAATTATTGAATGAAAAGATGAACAAAATTCAACCTCAGATATGCCGGTTTGCTTATCAACATAGCAGGTGTACCTTAGATGCCCTTTTGTCCCACATCATAGCACAGTCTATAGTTTAGATAAGGGAGCTAAATACGTTCACTGTGCCTTCCTTGATTACACATCTGCATTTGACTCTGTTCCTAGGTCTCTCTTGCTAAGTAAGCTTGCTGCAACACAGGCTGAGAGCTGGACAAATAATTGGTTGCATTCCTATTTCTTTATAGGAAGCAGTACACCGTCTACAGTGAAAAGTCCTCCACTACCGCACTTACTTTAGCTGGTGTTCCTCAAGGTGCTGTTCTTCCTCCCTTTCTGTTTTCTTTTTTCTTGCATGACTTGTCCCATTCTGATGTAGCCACTTTTGTTAAGTATGGTGATGACCTCTCTATTTCTATGCCTGTCAACTCTCAGTCAGATTGTTCCAAATTAAATAACTTTCTGTCGGAATTTAGTCAGTGGTTCTCTTCAAACGGTATTAAGCTGAATCCGTCTATATGTCAGGTAGTCGATTTCGCTTTCAGACGAAAGCGTGACCTACAACAACTAGCAAGCTTACATGGCCCCACTATCATTGACGGCATAGAGGTTGAAAATACATCTAATGTCAAGCACCTTCAGATGAGTTTTTCCACCGATATTCCCTGGTCCTCCCACATCTTCCTAGTTACTAGAAAGATGTTTTGCTAAACGTTCTACGTTAGGAAGTTAAGGCAGTCTGGTATAAAGCAGTCTTTGCTTTCTCAGTTTGTTAATTCTTGTATTCTACCCATCCCGCTTTACTGCTCCCCATTAATCTTTCCTGGACTACTTAAGAAAGACTTTGCTTTTCTGAGAGGGGCAGGCACTTGTAGGGGACTAATATTAGAGTTCACTAACATTCCAAATATAAAAGTAATAATCCAAGTCAGTGGAGTGTTAAATCACAATATATTACCAAAAATACAGTGACGAGTTATAGCAACAAAAAGGATTACTTGGATATAAAGTCTAAGTCCTCGGCTACAAATTAATTATATAATCCACAGGCACGTTAATTGTTTGGACGGCGTCTGCTGTAGCTGCTGTGTTCCGGTTGTAGAAATGTCTTCGGTTGAGAGTAGTAGGCTCCTACAATAAATCCGAAGTATACAACACGGTGTGAGTGGAGCAAGTAAGCAGAAGTGACCAGGGAGAAGACGAAGTCTCCAACAGCAGAGTGTATTTTTCAATTGTACACGGAAGTTATGTATATTTCAACAAGAAGCGTTTTAAACAAAAATTATGTACAATATCTCGAATTTATACAAGTAACCAAAAAGTGTACAATCACATTGTTGCGTACTCAACACACTAAAAGCCGTTAGTAGGGCAAGTGGGATATCGTTAAACCAACTGATTAACACTATTGCGGATATGCATATGATTTCATGTAAGAAACTAGAGAATACTATATTGTCAGACCCTGAGGATCCTCTCTATGCGCAGCTGTCTCCTTGCATTTCATCCGGTAAAACTGGAAGCATCTATAGAATGGTATATACTATGAGTATCAAGTGCAAATCTGCGCAATATCATATATAGGAGAGCTGTTATATGATGAGAAATCCGTTTACTCTGACACAATCACTTTACTGTGACTTTCTAACCAATAGTCCCTTTAGTTTTTGTTTTCTTTTCCTTGTTACTGTTAGAGTGTTGTTCCAAAATTTTTAAGTTCATATTTATGTTGAACAATTTTATCAACGTGGATGTCTGTTTATTACTTTAATCTTTATTTTTACTCACCCAGTAAAGAGGGTGGAGGTTACAAATGATGAAGCTGTCATCAGTATTACTCTACATCTATTCCTAATGAACAATTTTGTGAATTGCCACACACGAGGGTGTAGTTGTGATGTCGTTCCCGTATGCTTTGACTGTGAAACTTATCACAATATCCATCATTCATGAATAGTGTTAAAAGTGAGTCTTTACATGAGGGATTGGCTATGCTGAGAGACTAGAGAGAATGCAAGTTACCAACTGAACGAGAGTGCATCAAATTGTACACATCTTAAATCATCATAACTACCTCGCCATCCAAGTTTCATTGAAAACTACACTTCTCTCATGCAGTACAAACAATACTGACGAATGTGTTATACGTTCAACTTACGAGTGCTCAAATTCACACATATACAAGTGAGTCTGTATTGTAGATGATTAACGCCAAATAAGTTTACACCTGGACTGAGTACTATAGATCAGCTTAAGCTGACATCACTCACTCATCAACATTTGTGATACAAGCCAGGCTGTTCGTTCATTTGCTTACGATAACTCATCTTCACTTGTCAACACGGAATAACTCTTCATCAAAAATCAGTTTCGAAGATTACACAAAGTGACTCATGTGTTTCATACCGAATGTGTTCATAGTGAGCAGCTAACGTGAAATGGTTAGACTTCACATGACTAAGAATTGGTTGACGGTTAGAGGAATAACAGGTGAATCAATCCCACCTCAGTTAATTGACCTCGAATTGAATGAAACCACGTACCGAATTGTCCACCCACATGTTCTGAAGCATACAAACTAACACACACACACACAGAACATCACAGAAGCAAAAAAACTGTGTTTTTACTTATGAATAAATGGGTATTTTTCATGATTTGAAATCGTGCAAGGACCGATTGACAGTAAAGGGACTCAGCGAGTTTCTACGATATTCTGTCAAGCTTGCTGAAGCGAATTCTAATTCTGATACTCTAAAAAGCTGCATAAAGAATGGTGAATATTCAAAACTTTAATGAAACATTTTACGCCGTAATCATATTTATCCAATCGGCCGAACTCTTAAGCGTTGAACCTGATCGATGCCATACAAATGCGTCTTCCGGAGCTTGAGAACAACATATCTCAACGTATGCACTTCTTGTTTGAACTAACAGAGACAGAACGTATCCTGTTTGAGGATTATATTTCTGACGTTATAAAGAAAAGATCTGAAGATGTTAGAATAAATATACTGAAAAGTTGCAAAACAATCGAATCTCACTTCAAGTTTCCGGATTCGCCAGAGAAATACGTTTTTAACTATTCTAATATATCTTTGTCGGATATTCAAATGCAAATCATATCTCTTGGTCTGAAGTTCTCTAGTTAGACATGAAAGTTCAGTTTGAAAATCTCATGAATCAAAGACATGACTTGAGTCCACTGTCTAGAGAAGACGCTGAACAATTCAAAGAGACAGTTATGACAAACTTTTAACGGTTTGAAAAAATTTGATAAATCTATTAGCATTGAATAGCGAAACGTCAGTAAAAACAATATCGTTTTGTTTTTCATTCATTGGGAAATACAAAAACCTTCATTATAAAGAAATCATTCCACCTCTGAGGCGTACAAAAATCAGTTACTGATAATCACAGTATGATAAAAAGCGATTTATGCTATGTAAGCTACTTTGTGCCATTTTGTGAACCATAAGTTAACCTTATAAATTATATCCTTCAAAATTACTAATTTATCATATTCAATAATGGAATACGATTCGATGTAAGCGCGCGCTTTTTGACTACTGCGATACATATCCCTAATTTCATAAAAACTCCCGTTTCTGTAAAATTTCATGCCAAGAGTTTGTGGAAACTATTACAATTATCTACCTTTCGAACACTAAATCTGAGGATATAATCTTATTGACAGATAATACATATAACTAACTATTTGGATTTGTGGAATTTTTAAACATAAACACATATCTATAATTGTATATATTGTTGGATTTACATGTTCAAGCTGTTCCAAGACAGTGAATCTATGGTTGAGATATCATTTTAGTTAACTGTGATCAACTATATTGCATGTTGTTGCATTGTATCGTGGTTGTCGCTTTTTGCTGTGAACTGTTTTCCTTTTGCTGGTGTTGTTCTGATTGTTTTGTCCGTTATTTTCCGATTTTGAGGGGAGCAACCCAAAAAGTCGCTTCTCCCTAAACTTCATCTTAATGTAACCATTCCTTTCTCAGGCGTGAGGTTAGCAACCCCACCCTGTAAGCAAAATTGCTACAGACACTTCAGCACGATGAACCTCTTTGCACCAAAAGAAAAAGTCTGTGTGTGGACGTGGAACGTGCGCACTATGTACGAGACTGGGAAAGCTGCTCAGATCGCAAACGAGATGAAACGACACGAAATCCAAGTGCTGGTGTGGTGAGAGCAGGCTGCTAGCCGATTGGTTGGCACTAATCTACGTTAAGGTCTAGGTCACTAATATGGGCCGTGAACAAGGCTGAGTCAACAACCAATCACAGCGAAGTTAACGTGGCAAAATATGATTCGCAGATAGAGAACTCTGTTTGTCAAGGAATCCCGAAACAACCAATCAGAAGCCTGCGTTTGTCTACCTAAACAACCAATCAGATGACTGCGCTTGTCTATAATAATGTTGTCTGAAATATGTATAAATACGTGTTGATTTTCATAATAAAACGATCTGTTGCCTGGCCCTTGTCTCCTGTTGTTACATTTGGTGTCGCTGCCTACCGACAAATGAAAAGCCTATACCCTGCAGTTTTTGATGGAGACATATGGATCTTCGGGCAGGACTTCAAGGCTTCTGTGCAGTTGAGTGGCGTTCAAAATCTGTCAGCGATGGAGCTGCTACTTGAGACGCTGCTGGGAGGTCGGGCGAAAGCAGCATATGAAGGTGTGGGCCGAAGTATGGACGAATGTTCGACAGGGTCAGGCAAACAGTTTCCAAAGTGGGAAGGACCATATATGGTCACTTCGAGATGGGGTTACGCAGACACAGTCGCAATGGCGAACAATGAGAGGCGCGTGAACGTCAGCGAGCTCCAGAAATGGATACAGCGAGACAAGCCAACGATGACGCCTGCACCAAGTAGATCAAGCCGACTTCAGTCGCACGTATTTGACGGGGGGACGAGTGTGGTGAGAGCAGGCTGCTAGCCGATTGG